AAGACTTAGAAGACCATCTAATTAACAATTGACATGACCTCTGAAGATTATGGATGAGATTATGTTTCCCCAATATAAATATTAATACTCTCACAAAAATTGGACTGCACATCTTATAGTACAATGATGATTTTCCTAGTTTGATTTCATATAATTGATAAAAAAAATTTAATTAATCATTGTTTAACTTGTATAAGAATGATCTTTTTTTAGGTAGTCCAAAAAAAAAATCCCTTTTTATTTGAAGTATGCAATGTTAAGAAATAAAACTTGAAATATTTGAAAGATCATTTGAATATACCAGCCTCAGTTGATCTCTAACAATCCTAGTAACCTCTCCCGCAACGACAAAAGATATTAATTTCCTGTTTCCTGAAAGCTTTAATCTGAGCCATACTTTGTTGAAAGGCTTTTATCTTATATTAAATGGCATATAAAATTACATTTCCATTTTAATTCCTCTAAAGGAAAAAATCTTATAGATATGAGGAATAAAGTCTCATTTTTTTTATGTTTTCCTAATGAACTTGGAGACATCATGATAGATATAAAACAAATAAGATGTGGTTTGATTGCCATTATGAGACAACTATCCATCATAGACCAGTTGACTTAGATGTAAGCTACTATACATCACTATGCAGCCTTCAACAATGAGCAAAACCCAAATAGTAAGAATAAAAGGCCCCAAAATGACAAAATGTAAAATGATTGAAATGAAAAAACTATCAGCCTGATTTATGTACAAATAAATAAACTTTGTTTACATATATATTCCTTATTGGAAATATTTACAGTTTTCCACGTTGAATGTTTTAAGTGTGCTAAGGGAATTAGAGAACGTAATTCAAATGCTAAGCTAACCTTAAAAGGTGCATTTGGGACTGCCATTATCGCATTGGATTACCATGCAATTTTAATTGAAAACTCTATAAATTAGAACAAAAAAACTTGTTTTTGTAACTTTATTTCACATTGAAAGATTTAAGTGTGCCAAAGAATATTAGAGAATATAATTCAAATGCTAAGATAACCTAAAAAGTTGCACGGGGACTGCCCTTATCACATTGCACTATCAAGTTTTAATTGGAAACTTCAAAATTTAGAAAATTAAGACAGATCCTTTTCTATTAATGCTTGATTCTGTAAGTAAAAATTCAAAAGCATAGGACACACCAAGGAACTCCAAATCTGTGAATCATTTTACCCAGCGATTCAAACATGTTCAAGATTATTGGAAAAATTGTATAAACTAATGATTCTGCTTTATTGGCTCAAATGAATCTGTTGTACGGTCAGTCTTCACATGTAATTTTGATCTGAAATGGTTTTAGATTGTAAAATATGAAGAAGTGCATGTTAAGCAACACAATTTTGTTTTTAGATTAAAAAAGTGTATTTTTTCATTTATGAAAAAGAACTGGTGATCATGGTACTTAATCTCTTATAATATATTAAAGAAAATGTAATGTAACAATCTAGAAAAATTTTCTTAAACTATGGAAATGGAAATTTGATTTTATAGTAATTTGTTCATATGGTAAAAACAGATTGCTTTCTCTTTGAACATATCCTAACTTTAACATTTTGTTGTATTCATTTGCTGTTTGTTTATTGTCATAGAAATATTTGTGAAAATCCTTTTGGATGATATACTGATGTTGACCGATTTATTCTCTAACATCAAAGTAGAATGATGTATTCAGGTTTATTGATCCTGGTGATAGCTGCTTCTAATAATTTGTCCATTAATGTCTGGAAAAATAATTGTTTTAATCCAAGAGATGTTTTTGTTTTTCGTATTTGATGAAACAAACTGTTAAAAGTCACAAGAGCACATAATGTTTGGTGTTTTAAGGGCTATCAATGATTTGATACAATTTTTGTTTTGTATTGAAAGTGCAAAGTATAGCTTTTTTCTAAGACTTCTGTGTTCTTCTTGCCAACAGTGAGTAGATGTCTAGTGGAATATTTACAAGTTCATACACATTTTTCATATCAAAAGTTTCAGGACCTGTCTTAAAGCTTCCTCATGACTGCACTAGGCAGGAATAGTTTGACCTTTAATGACTGCATCTTGTTATAGGTCATGGTGCAGTTATGAAAATCATTTTTATCTCCATTCCAAATAGTTTAGTTTTCAAATTTTTGAAATTGACATATTCAATAGATGAAATTTAAACATGTTCAGGTTCTCATGACAGAACTACAACAAAAACAAACACCAACATACATAGAAACAGACTATTTGATTACAACTGCCATATTCCTGACTTGGTACAGGACATTTTAAGAAAAATGACACAGATGTAGAAGCTCTACTCAATATAGGTTTGGGTTCAGAATTATGATTTTAACCTCTAATTGACTAGAGCATATTTAGACAAAAAGAAGCCAACATGCACAAAGTCCTTTATAAATCTACCAAATTCAAATTGTTATACTGTCTACTAGACTTACGAAAAAGTTGTTAAAGGAAAAATTAATCGTTTGATAAAGCCATAATTATATATTTCAACAAGTAACGAAATAAAGAAAGGATCTTTTATCAGATTTTCTTGAATATAACAACACTTTTAAATTTGGTTAGTTAAATTGGAAATTCAACAACTTGGCCATGCAACATTGTGGCCATGGGAAACAACTCTATCTCAAATTATGGCTAAGGAAGACTATCTATTACTGAAAATTTATTATTTATCAGTTCAGAGGTCTTTTATAGGCTTACTCATTTGCCCAATCCAATTCTATTTTGAATTAGATATAGTTTAAACTAAACTGAGATTTATGATTTATTTTTATTAATTATATGCATATATTAGTATTCAAACAACTAATGAAGCACTAAGTACCTAAGTGTTTATTTCTATCTTTATATTGTAACTTCTATGAACTTATATAATTAAGAAGATGTGGTATGAGTGCCAATGAGACAACAGACAACTCTCCATCCAAGTCACAATGTATAAAAAGTTAGAAATTATAGGTCAAAGTACGGCCTTCAATACGGAGCCTTGGCTCACAGTGAACAATAAGCTATAAAGGGCCCCAAAAAGACTAGTGTAAAACAATTCAAACAGGAAAACCAATGGTCTAATCTTAATAAAAAATGAGAAACGAGAAACACCTATGAACCACACCAACAAATGACAACTGCTGAACAACAGGCTCCTTATACTTATGTATAGTAACAGGGAATAATCATATTGCATCTATCTTTTACTTAATGGGTTCAAAAACTCCAAACAATTTCAGACTATTGGTTTTTTATTGCTTTATTATATATGTAACAAACATGGGAGACAACTCTATATTCTTTAAAAATCTAGTATATGTGGTAAATTTGCATAAATCTTGTTTAAAATACTGATAGAAATAATTGTCATTTTGTTCATATTTACAAACATTTACAAATATTCACCAAAAAAATATATATTAACATATATTTATAGCTATATTTATATGTACAGAAAAAAAGAGCAGAAGAAATGTTTATTGAATACTTATATAAATTCAATAATTTCTCTACAACTGTGCAAATGCATAGAGAGGTTGAGGTATCAAAAATTCATGTACAATTCGATGGCAAACTCAGACAACGATATGGCAAGAAATGAAAAACAACTAAAACAAACTCAGACAAGGTAATGGCAAGAAATGAAAAACAACTAAAACAAAAACACTTGAAACAAGAGTATACAAAACATAACATAGTAACTAAAGACTATGCAACACAAACCCCACCAAAAACTTGGGGTGATCTCAGGTGCTCTGGAAGGGTAAGCAGATCCTACTTCACATGTGACACACATTGTCACTCTAATAAAATATGTTGATGAGTTATATCAGGTTATAGGCATCACACAATAGCGGATTGGTAATATATAATACTGTAAATTCAGAAATTATTGCGTGCATTTATTATTGCGATTTTGTCATTTTAAACTAAAATGCAAGTTTAAATTATTGCGATTATAACCCTGTCGCATTTTTCGCAATAATAAAAACATCGCAATAATTTCTGAATTTACAGTACATTAATGTATTTATATAAATTTACTTCTCTGACATTTTGTTTAATTAAGACTTTCAAAAGATCTAAAGAACAAAATAAACATACATTTCTATATTTCTATGTTGACACAAATGTTTATTGACAAGTAAATATTTGAATTATAAAAATGCATTGCAGAGTAGATGATAAAACATTAGATTGGTTATCCACTTTTTAATTGCTATAATAAGTTCAAATATTTATATTCCTCAATGATATTAATTGATAATTAATTTAAGCTGCAATTCAATATTTATTTTCAACCATATTTCCATTAAGGCATGTTGTACATATCATATAACAGATACAATAGGGAATATGGAAAGTGGAATAACTTGTTTTACAAAGTATGTAACTCTCCATTGGTTAAGACTATGATTGTGACCTCTTTGTGAACTTTTTTGTTGGCTTGATGTCTCAGTGACAACTTCTTTAAAGTTTAATTGATATTATTATTAAAAATAGTCTTTTATTCTGCATATCATTTTAAGTCAACAAGCAATTAAATATTATTCCTCCACTCTAAAAGTTGGTGCTTAATATTGCAATCACATTGTTTATCTGTCCGACAGTTTGACAGTTCATCCGTCCATTCTTATAACAAATATTTTTATGGCTTTTTTCTCAGAAACTACTGGATAGAATGATTTTATATTTGGTCGGCAGTCCCACAGTAATCAGAGGTTCTGGAGGTTTTTGGACCTCAGAGGTCTTTTGGTCCAGAAATTGTTCAAGCATTACTGGTCCACTCACATTTTACTGCACCTAACCATTCATTACTGGACATGTCTGACGGACCTTGGGAATGACTGAGTAATGAAGTGTATTAATGTATGTGCACTTTTTTGATCTGCCAGACACTTTCTTCCTGTTTTCAGCTACTTTGAATTACGAGTTGGTGTAGTCTTACCACCACAATGCATACATCCTTGTTAATTTATATTTCAGTGCTGAAAACAAAAGATGGGATCAGGAGCCAGTACCTTAACTCCACCATCCTCCCCAGAACCTGAAAGTCCTGTAACAGTAAGAAGACGTGCACGTTCATCTCAAGGTTAGTTTCTGTGTAAATCAACGGTAGCTCTGAAGGGTTAATGTCATCACTTTGCATCCAGAGTTATCTGTCCTTTAATTGTAAACTTGATACTCATTTGCCCCTATCTACACGTTCAAACCTCTACGTTCATTGAGAATAAAAATTGATACCTATGTGATATTGAGTGATGATTAGAAGGTTTAGAAAAAACTCCTTAATTCACCCTTTGACCTTTAATATACTTAGGCTTTGGTCATTGTTTGTAGATCTATGTGTTCACCTTTTGATCTTGCTAGGGCTTTGGTCATTGTTAGTAGATATATGAGTCCTCTTTAGAATCAAAATATAATGTTTTAAAGAAAGAAATGAAACAGAAAAATGTTAAAATTCTTGAAAGTTTTGACAATTTAAAATAAAATATTAGCACAAAGTAAACAAGTAAAGACCATGATCAAAGTTATGCTCATTCAGAAAAATTTGTGATCAAAGTGTTAAAAGTTATTTTAATCAATGATATGGCTATATCATTTAGTAATTATAAATAATCCTTCCACAATATTAAATGACAGTATACATATATATATATAGATTCTACCACTGCATCAAGTGTGATACGATATTTATCCACTCGAGACAGTTAAATTTTCAAATTTAAAACGCGAGGCTCGCCGAGCGTTTTAAATATTTAAAATTTAACTGTCGAGAGTGGATAAATATCGTATTACACGAGATTTGGTGGTGGAATCTGTTTCTCTAATGATTTTCAAACAATACGCAGGCAAATTTATTCCTTCTTTTCGAATGATCTGCAAAAAGATGTGTTCTTTCTATGTGACGTCATCAGGCATGGTCGCCTTTTTTCATGCCGTCACAATAGGAAATTCAGAGGAAAGCAAGAAAATTCGACGTCATAATCAGATTTTAACCAATGAAGAACTGAGATCAAACGAACCACACGTTGATTAAATTTTTTTTATACAATGGGAGAAGAAAGGGATAAATTGACGAAGAATTAGAGAAATATATATATATATATTATATATATAGTTATGTATTATTTCTATATTTCTACATATAGTTTGATATTGCTTTTTATAGCAAAAACATTTTATTTTATGCACGATTCCATTCATCATAGTTAACACTTGAGTCTTTTTTGTATTAGATACACCTTGAGGGCCTTAGCCCAAATGAGTGTATCTAATTTACACCAAGATATTATTTTCAATGCAGAATGATAGTTTTCAATAATTTAGGAGGGGAATCTTTCAGCGATTTGATCATATGTTATTCAAAAGCATGATAAATGCAGGGTATCCAATTTCATTTAAGCACATCTTGGTGTAAGTGGAAAAACAATTTAGCATTTGTTAACATACTGTTAAGTGGTCTATTTTTTGCTAATCTAGCAATTAAGTGTGACTAGTACAATCAATGATAATTGTCATATTTTTTTTGTGATAGAGAGCCACATGTATCACCTGAATTTAATATTTAATATAAAATAAACTTACTGTTAATTCAGAAATTTATACATTGTTTTTATTATTATAAGAAAATTGCAAAAGGATAGCTTGGTTAAAACAATAATAAAAGTTTGTGTTTCACAAATTTTGATTACTTTATTCGTATGCAGCACTTCTGTAATTGCAATAATTAATCTCACATTTTTGTCCATTATTCAACCATCACAATGATATTAAATACATGCAAAACTTTTTGAAATACAGTATTGCCTATATAACTATTAAAATATTGCAGCTGTATGCTACATTTATCTGTCTCTGTAACACATGTGATCATCCTTCTTCATCAGTATACAGTTAAGCTTCCTCTGTTTCCATGTGAGCACAAAAAGCCAAGTAAAAGCTTTATAAACATCTTTACATTAATAAGTAAAGTAAGATACCAAGGGATGGGGTAGCACCAAAGTAGCATAATTTTTAGATAGATGAGACCACACCATGACTAAAAGGAAAGAAATGAAATGACCAGTGGTTCATATAATATTACATAGAAAAATTGAGCTTCATTAACAAGAATTTTCTAAAAACTTTGGGATAAAATTCTGTTCATTTTTACGTTTTAAATAGAGAAAATCTGAAAAGAGCAAAAATGTTCAGAATGTTGATCTCTATCAAGTGTTCATATACGTCCAGACTACACAAAATTCGTCGGACCGTCGGACAAATCTGGTGAATAATGGATCGATCGGGTAAAATTTTGTTGAATTCCGGTCCGAATGTCTGGTGTTGTTTTTTTCATGGATTTTTCTAGCATTCTAACAAAATTCCCAAACGATCTCAAAATTCATTTTTATCTTTATTATTCATGACAGCGATGTTTATTTTGTTCAACCGCTAGCTTTATGCCAAAAATCGTCAACAAGTAATGTGTAAATCCGAGTAAAAACATATCTGATTGACAAAAGCAACAGACAATGGCTGCCATCAACTGGAAATGTAGACAATACCGGATCAGATTCCAGGAACGGATAAGGCTTATTCCAGGTTTGCCGATCAAATACAATAAATAAATTAAAAACATCCAAGCAGATCACAAAATACAGCTATGAAATATAAATAGATATAAGAAGATGTGGTATGAGTGCCAATGAGACAACTCTCCATCCAAGTCAAAATTTATAAAAGTAAACCATTGTAGGTCACAGTACGGTCTTCAACACGGAACCTTGGCTCACACCGAACAGTAAGATATAAAGGGCCCCAAAAATTACTAGTGTAAAACCATTCAAACGGGAAAACCAACGGTCTAATCTATATAAAAAACGAGAAACGAGAAACACTAATGAAACACATCAACAAATGACAACTACTGAACATCTGATTCCTGACTTAGGACAGGTGCAAACAAATGCAGCGGGTTTAAACGTTTTAATGGTACCAAACCTTCACCCTTTTTCTGAAACAATAGTGTAACATCACAACATAGAAAGACACACTATAAAATATCAACTGAAATAGCTTAACTCAATCAAAGGACATATTAACACCATTGAACATACACTGAACAAATAAATTTGACCTATGATACAATGTAAATACAAAATAAATAAACTAAGGGAAGAATAATAAAAGTAACATGTTATATCGGTATGAAATGTTAAACAATTAAAGAAAAACAATATGCTCGAACAAAAATATCAGCCATTTGCAATAACTTTAAACACAGGTAAATGAAAATAATTTTGTTGTTAAGTATACGTGTACAGTTCCAATAGAGAAAGGAAATATTTTACAAAATAAATAATTTTGATGTTCATAGTACGAAGTGAAAATTTATAGTAATACCAAACACTTATCAAAGCTGGTATATAGACCAGATATAACCCTGAATAACATTAAATAACAAAAAAACTATACAATTAGTATCAACAGGTCAAATAAACAAGAAAGTACAATTAGAGAGTACTCGCAGTTACTGACAGCTAGTCAAAAGCCAAAACAATTAATAATAAAAAATCATGCATCAGAGACTAAAATCAACTAAAACACATCCCAGGGATTTAGTATTTTAACGTCATGGACAGTCAAAGAAGACATGACTAGTGCAATGCCAAAAATAAATATATTGACAGACAGTAAGATAGTTAGGAGTTTAACCTCTTTATAGATCAAAACGAACGTGGGTGTGTCTTTATACATCCCGTTTGAAAAGAATACAAATTTAGTTATGTTTTAATTTGCTGATGACAAAATCGATATTAGTGCCAATGTAAACTATATTCAAAGATCTAATTACAACATTGGTAAGATAACCTTTACTAATAAGTTTGTTTAAAGGATCGATGAGTTTACACGGATCACATAGTGATTTCCGCGCTTTAAGTACAATATTATCTTAAAATTTAGGATGTGAAATACCGTTTTTAATCAGTTTTATACAAGTACAGCCAAATTTACTAATCAAATCTTTGTATCTATGAAAGAACTTAGCAAAAGTTTTACGTAATTTATGGTAACGAAATCCCTGACTTAATAATTTACCAGTGATGCATTGATTACGTTCGTTAAAATCTATGACATCACTACACACACGGGCATAACGAACGAATTGGGATATATAAACACCATATGATGGAGCCAAAGGAACATCGCCGTCTAAAAAAGGAAAATTAACAATAGGGAATGAAAAATCGTCTCTTTTGTCGTAAATTTTCGTATGGAGTTTTTCTTTAGAGATTGAAATGTCCAAATCCAGAAAAGGACAACTACTGCTGTTTATGTTAGATTTAGTTAAAGTAAGTTCTATTGGGTAAATTTCGGTAGTATATGTAGAGAACTCTGGATTATTTAACGAAAAAATATCATCTAGATAACGGAAGGTATTGTTGAATGTATCAACCAAATGTAACAATGACGTGTCTTTGCTGAGTTTGGTCATAAACTGAGATTCATAGCAATACAATACAGGAATAAATCTGCTATTAAAGGGGGGCAGTTAGTGCCCATAGGAATACCTACTACTTGTCGATACACTTTATCGCCGAAACGTACATATATGTTGTCCAGGAGAAAATTTAATGCTTCAATCATATTTTCACATTTCCAGTAAGTGTATCTAGCAAACTTTCCTTTTTCGTTACAGAAAAAGGCTTTAAACGAGTTACAGCAAATAAATTTGTAATGAGATTTTTCAAAAGACCATTTAATTAAATATGAAAACTTTTTCTTGATAAGAATGTGTGGAAGTGTAGTATAGAGAGTAGAAAAATCATAACTGGCACTAGAATTGAACACTAGAATTGAAAACCAAAAGATATATGAAAAAGAAAGAAGAAACAGGAAATATTTTATACAGAAACTCTAAATTATTTTTAGTTCACAAATACTTTTCATGTCATGTGACATTACTTTTCTTTAGGTGTAATACCAACAAATCATAGTACGTCACATCCGGTTGCATACGAAAATAGGTCGAAAAAAAATATTCCCTTGAATTTGATAGTTGTAGGTAATTGATCCTACATTTCATTGCAGTAAAACATTTCTGGGTCA